CCCCCCCCCCCCCCACACACACACACCCTGGTTCGGAAATAAAGCTGAGGTCCTTCTGATTCCAAGCCCAAGGTGCCCTGTCCCTTAGACTGTACACAGATGTACTGTTATTGTCAAGCAATGTCTACAAGTGACAGAAACCTGGAAAACTCCCAGTTAGAACCAGAAATCTACACGAGAAGGACGATTGTGCTTAAAAGGCTCAAACATGCAGACAAGCCATAACGTGTTGTTAGTTGTTTAGCAAATCACACTGTAAGCCACCAATGGAAATACAACAGAGAGGAGGCGGAAAATGTACTCCTTGGCTAGAAAGAGAACATTAGAATGGGGATATTTTCCTCTGCATAGCTATATATAAAACTACAAATACGTTATGACCAAACAGTGGAGATAATGGCTCTCTTACAGTAAGCCAGTTTCATTTTTGCCAGCATAGCAGATTATCAACATCAGTCTGCAAATGTATTTCAACTCTTAGTTAGATTTAGTGCTGCTGCGTGTTACTGTCAGCCATTTAAAAAAGTACTTCCACTAATACAAGTTGTAGCATTATCATTGATAGTTACAGTAACTAATAAAAACCTATACACATTTGCTGTTCCATAACACCCTTTAATAAGCAATGTAGAAGAACACGGGTGACCATTATTAGTAACTGGTATTTGTAAGACAAACATCAGCTCTTTCATAACTTAGAATGTAAAAACTGGTCAATCACAGCCAAATAGCTGAATGAATGCCCCAAAGAATGAATGAATGCCCTGAACTATATTCTGCAGATCACTAGTGTCTGTCCAGAGCTGTCTAATGCAGTAATTTTTGCTCTCCTTGTTGGCAGCTCCAAAATTGCATTAGAAATGGAAATATACTCCATATTTTTTCATTTTAACTTTTCATGCTTACAACTCTGCTGCCATAGTGATACGAGTCACAACTAAAAAAGGGAAGTCCGCACAATTGTGAATGGCAGCAGATATGTCCATGAGATAAAATGCAATTAAGATGCGGTCTACACCATGAAAAAGTTTTGAAAATGCTTGTACTGGAAGAAAGACAGAAATAAAATAACAGAGGCTTTGGAGATTCATAGATTTTAGGCCAAAAGGAATTAATTATGGTCATTTATCTGCATAGCAAAAGCCAGAATCACCTAGTAATTCCTACGTCTAGGACCCATTGAACTTCAGGGGAATTTTGCTACTGACTAATTTCACTTTCTACTATTAGAAAGCTTCTCTGTGGGCACATCTACATGAGATGCAGCACCAGCAGTGCTAATATGCTACTGCACAGTATTATTAGGCTACTGCACAGTAGCGTCATTTAAAAGATGTTCACCAGCACTACTGCACAGGAACTCCGGTTACTGCACATTTATTTAGTATTTGCTTATACAATTACTAAATAAATGAGCAGTAACCACTGCACAGTAGCATCTTGTGTAGATGTACCCTGTTTGTGGTACTCCTCATCAAACCACATTCTCTTTGATAAACTAAAACCGATCTTTAAGTCTCACTGTTTTCCGCTCCTGAGATCTATCTAACAGCTCTTTTCTGAATTCCTTCCAAGTTCAAAGTGTTCTTATTGGCCATTAGACCTATCAAGTATGGTCATTAGAGATAGGGCCTCAGCATTTTGCAAAGCAGTACCACCACTCTACTCCCACTCCACATACAGCCTAGGACTGCATTAGCTCTTGTAGCCACATCCTATTAAAAGCTCATATCCAATTGTTTATGACCCATGACCTCTATGTTTTTCTCAGAATCACAGTTTTTTAGGATACAGTCCCCCATGCTGAAAGTCTGACCTACATTCTTTGTTTCTAGGTGTGCAATCCTGCATTTGGCTTCATTAAAATGCATGATATTTGAATAAACTATGTTTAGCCAGTATCCAAATTGTTGTGTAAAAATAACCATCTTATTTATTACACTCCCAATTTTTGTATAACCTGCAGACTTTACTAGAAAAGATTTAATATTTGCTTCAAAATCATTTATAAAAGATACCAGACAGCACTGGGCCAAGGACAGATCAGTATGGAATCCTACTAGAAAAAGCATCATTGGATGAATGATTAATTTCCTATTATTTTTTAAGATCTAGAAATTAATCATATTTAAATATATTTAATGCTTTACATTGATATTGTATATATCAATTTTAATTGGATTGTCATGCAGTACTAAGTCAAATACAAGGAAATAATGAATGCATAGAATATAGAAGCTAAAAAGAAAATAATGAAGGGCACAGGAAAGGTAAATCAGGCACTTCAATTTACCCTCTCTCATAAAACAAAAATAAGGAGACATTTAATTAAAAGCCACAAATATAAGAAATTATTATAATATAATGTTTAATCAACCTGCAGAACTTAGTGACACAAGATAACAATGAAGTCTGGAGCTTTGTTGAAGCCAAAAAAATGATTATGACATATATATAGATAACAAGAACATCCACAGGTGACAGTACACTAATAAGGACAAAAAATATGTTCTAGACATATAAATCCTAAGAACATTTTCCTCTAAGAAAATTATTTTATAATTGTCCTCTTCAGGGAAAGTGGTTCCAAAAGTTAAGCTTCTAAACCAGTCCTCTGGTTTTCAAAAGTGCTTACTACCAAGTACCACTAGAATTAATGGAAGTGCTCATCACTTTGAGTTATGGGCCCATTAATTTGCCCCCCCCCCCCCACTTTGGAATTTAAGAACCTAACTCTGAACACACAATTTTTAAAAAGGTTGGCATCTATATCAAGCAGACTTTGGTCTATGGCGAATTAAATGCCACCACCATTATAAAATAGAGTCTAATCATGCTGAAGTTGCTATTTCTGGAAGCCACAAAACAGTTCATCAGGACCATCACTTCTTATTAGACATTGGACAAAGGTTGCATTGGCAGGTCACAGATTAAGAGGAAGAAAATCAATTCCTGCATTTGGAGGGATGCATTGCTAGTAGAGTGTGTTATTACACATTATGAACTGTCTCTGGAGCTGACCCCATTTAGGAGACAGAGGATGCAACCAGGAAAAAAAGAAAAATCTGAAAGAAAAACCTTTCCTGTACAAAAAGGGGAAATATCTTATTTATTTACATACACCACTCACCTTTGCTTCCAAAATTAGCGATTGAAGATTGTGTTACAGGTCTTAAACAAGGAACATGGTTTTGAACCGCTTGGATAAAAGGAAAAAGCATTTTTTTCTTTATTCTGTCTTCCTCAAAAAAGGTGCATACCAGTGGGGTGCTCGCCACTTTAGGGCTATCACAGGCTCTGGGGAGCCTGTTTTGGGGAGCAGCAGGTAAAAGCCTTCCCTGCTAAGCATTGTAAGGGGGCAGGTGGGTGCAGGAGCACCTTAAGTGCTCTGCCACTTTAAGACCTGGATCAGGCAGCAGGCAGGTGTGGCCCAGCCCTGACAAGTGGCCATTTTAAGTCCCAGGCCAGCAAGGCTAGAGGCAGCAGCTTGCTTTCAGACACCAAGGAGGCAACATCTCCTAGAAGAGCTGCTGTTCTGAGAACAACTTGGAGGCTGAGGCTACGGGGAAGGAGGAGGCCTCATTGGTCCTTGGCATGACCTAAAACTGCACCCTGCTGGGATAGGGAGGCCTGGTGGTCCTGCCTGCAGTGGGGTAGGGCCAGCAAATGCCAGGACTGAGGACCTCCCTGGTATAAGGTGGGTTGGGGTGCCTAAACCCCTGCCCCCACCACCCAGTGGGTTGCAGGATTAACTTTGGAGGGAGTTGTGGGGCTAGGGACATCCATAGGGGACACCTGCACCCATTAGGGTGCAAGACCCTGAAGGGGTGCAATGGAGGCTAGGTTAGCTTTGAGAAGCACCTGAGCCTGAAGGGGGTGGGGGAAAGACCC